TGTATCTTCTATAGAAATGTGGGATCAGGACCTTTAATGATTTTTGAATGTTTTGTTCAGTTGTAGGAATTTTCTGTATTTTGTGAATACTGACTTATTTGCAAACAACTTGCAAATGTTTGTTTCCATTTTGTGTTGCTTTTTCATTGTCAGTAATGTCCTTTGATACACAAGTCTTTGGTTTTCAATAAAATCCTATTTTCATTTGTTGCCTATGCTTTCAGCAGTCACAAAAATCATTGTTAAATTCTGTTATGAAGATCTTCCTGGTTTATTCTAAGTTTTATAGACTTGATTCTTGATGGAGAGGTCTTCAATCCATTGTTTTTATATATGATCTAGGGTGAGTATCCAATTTCATCCTCTTGCATGTGGGTTATCAAGTTTTCCCAACCACTCTTTTCTCCTGGCACCCTGTCAAAAGCATCTGACCACACAAGTGAGGATTTATTTCTGGGTTTTCTATCCTACTGCACTGGGTTATCTGCCTTTAAACAATTACACTGTTTTGGCTGCAACTTTGTAGCATGGGTTCCCTTTTATTTTTTAAAAATATACATTATCTTTCTGGCTCATGTTTTTGAGTACTGATCTCCTGAGTGCTGCTTCAAGAGACTGACATGCTCGATAGTACCCACATTTAGTGGAACCCAGAGGTAACTGTGTAAACAGGCATAGGGAAGATGAGGCAACAACCAACAGGCAATTCATTCAAACGGGTATCTGGTATCTTTGGGGGTGGGGGCGAAGAAAAAGGCACAGTCACTAGAGTAAAACTGTATGCCTTTATTTGACAAAAACTGGGTCATTATGATGAAATACAGTTTGTCCATGTGCAGAAACATTATTATACATTCAATTCTGAAGAAGGTAGTTTTATATGACCAATAAAAAGAACAGACTATAAGTGAGAGGAATAGATAGTGAGCTAAAAGGCAGAGTTTTTTTCTGTCAAAGTGCTAAGGCCTATGTGCACAGAGATTTTAAAGTGAACAAGACCACCATAAGGTCAATTCTTCCATTCTGATTTCTCTTGGTGCTGGTGTAAGTGTGTGATGCAATGAACCACAGAATTAAGATGGGCTTTCAAAAAATAGGTCATAGCACTTATGGCTAAGAGAAAGTTTTATTTCTAGAGTTTCATTTGTCAAGTACTCTAGATCTTTCATGGATCCGAAATTTTGTAAATTCACTAAGAACAAACTTGCTCTTTAATCAGTAGTTTATTAGCAGAGAATAAATTATGAGGTCTTCCCAGTTTAGAACCTACCTGCTTATGCAAAAGAAGTGAAAACAAATTTAAGATCAGGACTCCGAGTTTCATTAACTTAAAGCTTATACAAAGCAATTATATACAGGTTTAGCTGGGGTCCCTACCTAAGTCTTCAAAATGTCATTGCCTAGAAACTTAAAAAACGAATTGCTAACTTAGGGGCAAAGTCCAACTCCACTATTTCCAAGCTCTAGGTATCTGCAAACAGATACCCTGGTTTTTGAAAGGAACCAAGAAATGTATTTTATGCATCACACTTTCCATAGGAAGGATATAGGTTGGGCATAAAATATTTCTAAAGTGTCTCCAAATATTTTGATAACATTTAATGTGCTTTCTTACTGAGCTCATCTGAATTTTAAATATTTAAAGCTCCACAATCAAGTTTTAAAAAATATTGACTCAAGTTGGTTTAATATAGTATCTGAGCCAACGTCTGTGTCACTTACCAGACACAAGTGCACAACCCTAAATCAGCAGGAAAGCCTATTACTAGCTAGTTCAATTTAAAAAACAAAAAAACAAAAACACACATTACTTAGCTCACAAAATGTCCCAAATCAAATTCCATGTTCCAGTCATGGCAATTCAACATTGTTATGAATCCAAAACCTTAGAAAATATACTCACAGTAAATGAGTAACTCTAGGCTTCCTTAAACCTGTCTTTAGACCCAGTTTTGGGTATACCTTTCATCTGCACAAGCATTGTCAGAGCTTTGCAGTCAAGATGAAAATCAGGGTATGTTTTCAAATCCCCTCTTTTCTGTTCAGTTTGAAAAACCAGGAAAGTTGAGCTTGAAGTTATTCTTCAGGAAAACCCACTATCTAGTCACAGCCCATCATTACAGCTGGACGTTTCTGGGCAGCTCTCTTCCAGGCTCAGTTTGTCCTTCCTGAGGAAATCTTCCTAAGAATTCCCTTTTTAGAATGGAAATAACTATCCAATTAATATCACCAAGAATTAGGAAGCTATAGGATCATCTACTCCCCTACCTCTTGGAGAGGTGAAAGTACATTACAGAGTGGAAGACACCTAACTCTTGGACTAAGAGGTGAAAATGGATACTGGGTGCATGTAAAATTAAGAGTTGTAAATCCAACAATCCAGGTTGATGGTAAGTGGTAAGGAAATTTAAAAAACTATCAGTGAAATACAATGAGTTATTCTCTTAACACCTTTCTACAATAAATTCTTAAATAATGATGATTTAGGTCACTATAAAGGACTAGAGTCCTAGCAAAGTCTAATTCATTTATGATATATAGAAACAAGTGAATTCTACAGTATTAAAGTTTAGAGAATGTTAATTTTATCAATTTCTCCCCACTTATGGGGGGAAAAAAAGACAAGGATACATTGCTGTAACAACTTAAAATGAAGCGATACACTTCCTTCTCACTGGTCTGTAATGCTTTTTTATTCCCTTTAGCTTGATCTTGACAGCTAAGCTGTAGTGCCTATCCAACTGTTACCTGGAAGGATTAGTTGAACATTAGATAAAACATCTTTCCTGGCATGTATCAGAATTCATTGACAGGGATTACTTTGGCCAGTCTTTCCTAGTCTGACTGAAAGGTGAAAATTGGCATATAGGATTTCAGTCACAAATCCAGCAATCCAGGTATACAAATGGTAAAGAAAACTGAAGAATAAGCACTGACAAAACACAATGAGTTACCAAGATATTTCTTAACATTTCTACTAACAAGTCTAGAGCTCCCAGTGACAGTTCTCAAAAAACTAACATGGCGCCTCATTTCCACATTGCTGTATCCAAGTAGGCGCAATGCATTTATTTCTTCTTCTTTTACCCGGTACCTTCCTGTCTGCTATTTCTATTTCAAGCTTCCATCATGTCTTGGAAAAGGTGGTCAGAAGTAGCCCACGCTATTTGGGTCTTACTCTAGGAAGGCCTTTACAATTCACACACCTGCTTTTATTTACCCCTGCCTAGCCAGAACTTTACCACAGCGCTTAGCATGTAGTAGGTACTCAATAAACATTTGAAGTAGCCCACGCTATTTGGGTCTTACTCTAGGAAGGCCTTTACAATTCACACACCTGCTTTTATTTACCCCTGCCTAGCCAGAACTTTACCACAGCGCTTAGCATGTAGTAGGTACTCAATAAACATTTGAATTAGTGAAAAACTTCTATGCAAAAATAGCTAGAAACACTGTAGCAAATGCAACTTCTGAAGACCACCTATGGCCTAGTAGTGTCATGAGCAATGAGCACAGGTTTCAACAACTGCAACGAAAATAAAATTGTGGCTGCAAGTCCACACTATGTTATTGGTCTACGACTCTTTCTCACTAAACTACAGACCAACAACACCTTTAGGCTCCTGTCATTACCTGAACATGAACTTTACTTCCCATGAGGTAGGAGGCCCATTAAAACAATGATAAATATGTACTAGAAAGGAGAGGGGTATCTGTAAATGGACATCACAAACTGGTTTGCACACATTGATGTCACCTTCATCCCTCTCTATTATACATGGGAATTATGAGGATACAGATGATCCCTGAGACGTCATAATTTTCCTTTAGAAAACAGTATACTTTAGCAAAGACTTATAGAGCTCTCTGGGATGGCTAAATTATCTGCCATGTCTTTAGGCAATTCTGATGTATGAAATTTTAATTTCTGCAAAATAACAAGACTGTCTTTCAAAAAGCATTCTGTGTGTCCTTATTCCAAAATAAGCCATTTTCATCAGCAAAATTAACCACAGTTGAGTAATTATGGGGAAGAGGGAACTACAAAAACATGTCAGCTTCATTCTTCAAACAATGGGCATATTAGACTTTCCATAGGTTATCAATAAATGTCATTTTAAGAATGGACTATACACCTTTACTGTCAAAGATTGACTAGGTATCATTTTGTTCCTTCAGTTGTATCCACTTAAAAACAAGTATTTATAACTATAAAATGAATTCCCTTTGACAGCAGGATTCCAGATTCTCTCTAGCAATGAGACTAGAGACAATTAACTTTCTCCTAACACATGGCTCAGTCGTTATTTCCATAAACACCTGTCTTGACACTAGGCAGATCAGAATTCAAGTTCTTCTATCCCTCCACCTCAATCAGGACACAAAATTGCTATGAAACTCACTTTCTGGAGATACATCGGAGACAGAAAAGGAAGTTTTCTTCATGAGATTATTTCTTCACATACCCTTCAGCCTACAGAGTGGTGGCAAGGAATGTTTGTTAATTAATTATTAACCACTAGGGGCAAAGAAAAACCTATTTTTCCCCTGAGACATTTTACCATACTTTGCTTTAGAAGCAAACAGTGGGCACATTTGAAAGAAGTTTTTTACTAACAGGTTGTTAGAAGACGTAATAGTCCTAAGAGGGAAACACACAACACAGATCAGGAGAATTTAGTATTTTTACCAAGAGTTCCGATGGAAATACACTACCCTGATTTGTTTATCACCAGATTTCTCCTCTCACTCTCTCCTATACAGTCTGTAGTAGCCACCTAATAGTGTGTAAGGCAACACCTGAGAGCCCCCGCCCATGCCACTCTTAGATTTAGATGTATGTCAGACCTCAAGATTCACCAAAAACTCCAAGGCTTTTATTTTCACTTTAATTATCTTTTACTTAATAATAAAATGAAAAATAAGAATATATGAATACATACAATCTATATACATATATTTATTGCAAATACTTAAAATTCTTATGTAAAATGATTTTTCTCTATTTGTGGAAAAATATGACTTTTTAAATGGTGCTGACACCAACTTCTCTGTACATACCCTCAATTCCAATGTTAACAATTCCTTTAAAAAGGCAAAAAGACACAAAAAAGTTTTGCATTTACCAAACCAGTCTATACAAACCTTATAGCCAGAGGGAAAAAAAAATAACTTGCAGTAAATAAGTCAACTTTCTTTTAAAATAAAAATGAGACTCCAAAACTATTCCCCTTATTGCATTTTTTTTTTTTTTGGGAAATCATCTGAGTGTCTTTAGAGTAACTTCCTTTGAAATAATTTGTGCCTTAACAGTGAGGTTCTACATTAAACATACCATACGCGAAATTCAAAGTCTTCCACTGTCACTTTTTACATAGATATTAAAATATATATTACTTAAAATATATTACTGGAAAGCTATTTTTAAAATTGATCTTTTAATAGTTGTATCAAATGTAAAGCATTAAAAAAAATAAAGTAACCAAGAATCTATGAAGCTCTCACTTCAACTTTAGGAAATGTTTTACCTATTGCTTTCGTTCAATAGGTATGTAGGTATTGAAACATGGTAGGAAAGTCCCTGACTAGCATCATGTTTCTCAAAGTCTCTTTGGACTATTCTAGAAATTGAGCTGGTAACTACCCTTGGCCAAGTATCTTACTTAGCACTGTTGTAATGTGTTGGGGAGAGTTTTCCCTCCTTGCTGTGATGTCACAGAGAAAATAACTCTGGCACTGCTCAATGACAGTGAGCTCTAGAAATAAATAGCGGTGTAATGACCAGACCCACCCACCCCCATTACAACAAATTTCACCAAAGAGCTCTTTAAGGACTGGACGGTGGAGAAAGGCAATATTGAGCGATTAGGATGGTAACTGTCAGATCATTAATTATTTATGAATTCACACCTTCACCTGAAAGGCAGTGAGGTTTTCCTTTGGCTATCAAAATCTGGGATAATTCCTAAAACATCTGTGTGAGTGCCTTCTAACTCCATGTAATTAATATGCTTCCCTTGCTACAAAAATTATCTCCCATTTGCCAGAAATTACCTTAAAAATGTTACATGGGGTATACCACAGATAGCCTCAGTATCACGAGCACAGGGGTAAAGGCCAGAATTAGGGCGAACAACTCCAGGTTATGTGGCTTTATATCTTCTGTTTAGTAAGATAGATAATTTTAATCCAAGTTGTTTGAAGATTTAGGGAGCCTTCTCTACTAAAACACTTGTGAGATGTTAATGCTAACTCTCCACGGTGACCTGCAGAGGAAGGATTCTGAAAACTCAAGCACACACTGCAGGCGTAGCAATAGGTAGATGCTGGACTAGTCACTGGAAATAGGGTTAAGTTAATAAAACTAACTTTAGCACTTACTAGAAGAAACAGTTCCCACCGAATGGCCAGGTAACTTAAAAAGTAAGATACAAACTGCTTTATAAGGTAGTAGAGTGCTATATTCTTCTACTTTGTCTTCTTAATCCTGATTCACTTTCAAAAGGGTGAATCTCCTTTTTTCTTGTTCAGCTCATGAGATAACTTTCTACTCGAAACTGCTGTTTCAAAACAAATCAACAGTGGATTGTATTCAATTTACTAACAATTTAAGGGGATAGTATTATTTGGTCAAGATTATTTCTGTCTTACAATCTATTTTGGGGACACTGATAAATGCAAATATTTTATTAGTGGGTATTACTTGTTAAGAGAGTCAGCGAGTAGTAGTGCTTGGCAACGAGCTGCAAGAGCCTGGGCGAAGGTGAAGAGGCACAATGTCGTTTGTTCTCCAAATGGACTTGAAAACCCCGATGCCTTTCCTAATTCTCCTGTTTAGTCTGTCCACCCTCAGATTAAAGGAACCACAGAGAAGAGACATCCTGTGACAGAAACGTGTGAAGAAGAAAAATCACTTTGATCAATTCGAATTGGTAATTACAATTTAGCTGTGACACTCAACCACTCAGGCATACAGACCAGCTCTCAATTCTGCCACTAAAGTGGGCTGTGGAGAAGCTGGACATGGAAATTTTACCCAGCAGTAGGTCTTTTAAAATCAATCCCCTTTGGACTACCCAGGGCACTGAAGGTTTGGGAACAGAACCCCTAGTTTCTGTTTCCTACTGTGCTTGTCTGCGAACTGACTCCTTATCCCTAGGTCCCTGCAGCCTTTGTATCTCTTGGCTATGTGTGTACCAGAAGAAAAAGGGAGGTCGAAGTGACGTCATAATGCACTATGCTGCCTGAAACTAGAACACAGGTATCAATCCTATATTTGCCTCGGGTCACACAAAAATAAAAAAAAAAAAAAAACACAAAAAAAGAATAAACAGTGAAGTTAGGGGACTGGAAATAGCAAGAGTATGTAACGGAGGAGGAGGGCATGCGCAGGGGTGACAGAATCAGACGTGGCAAAAATGAGCACTGCCTGTTTCCTCCGAATCTGGAATGTGACTTAGCAAGTTTAGACTGTTTCGTATTGTGTAAATATCACATCCTGAATATGTAGTACAACGTAGCATCAGGTTGCACTCTTAATAACACTTGAAATTAGGAGACTTAAAATCAATATGCAAATGATGCACACTGACAATCCCCAAGCTTCTAATCCCAATTCTACTAAGTAGCAGGTTTAATGTTCTTTAACCTTGTCCTAAATATATGTACTCAAAAATACTTCAGTCACTAGAGACAGGACTTAAAAAACAGCAAAAAAGGAAAGGAAAAATAATAAAACAATAAAATTTTGATGCTAATTCTCTTTCTAGACATTCCCTTCACCATCCACCAAGCCCTCCACACTACAAATTTCTGAATGTACATAGCAATAATCCAGAACAGGGGCATATTCCTAATACAGGAAAAGTCACCTTTACTGTGTATGAGTGAGTGCACACCTAAGCAGTCAAAGTAATCTGCAATCACTCCAAGCTCCTCAGGTGCCTGGGAAGCCGAAGCAGGTGCAACAGAATGGGCGAGGCAACTTAATGAGCCTGCAGAAACAGCTGACTGCAGAACATGAGGTCGTGGGTTTAGCAGAAGAGGAAAAGGGTTGTTTCTAGAGTTAAAACTGTTTCCAAAGTTTTTTAACAATTTCTGTACCTTTACTTCCCTTGCTCAACAAAACAGTTCAAATTATCCCAGCACTAGCATGTTTCTGTTAATTTTATGTTGGTATTTCAAACCTGCTAGTAAGCTCCCAACAACGACCACATGCTTGGACAGGACCGCCGGAATGGCTGCCGGCACAGGCGCCAGTAACGTGAGGGGCTCGAGGGGGCAGGCCCTTCACCGGCCACACTCACCGTCTCCAGGCTGGGGGGTGGGAAGAGGAACAGCAGAGATCCACCAACTGCAAGCAGATTACTTAGCCAACAGCACTGGCTTATGGAAACCAAGAACCAAGTCAGAGCTTTTGGAGTCTGAAATTCTACCCAGGAAATCAGGACCTCATCAAAAATTTGCACTTTAGAAGGTTCCGTCTAAGGTCAAAGGGACTGCGGAGACCCTGAGTCCAGGTCCGATGGAGCCTGCAGTCGGACTGTCAAGACGTAATCAGCGTGAACGGTCATTCAGCAAACCATCCTTTACACCCTCTTTTCCTAGCCATAGGAAAGGACAGAAGGGAGATTGCTTTTCTTTCTCCATGCATGCCACTAAACGCTTCTCAGTCACATGGAGTGGAACGTAAGTCTGAATTCAAAGTAATACATTATTACCTAAATACTTGGAAAAATAATGTTAAAACAAAATGTGACATATTTACATGATTTTGTAAGTGCAAACTTGTCACAGATTCACAAAGTCTTGCTTGACCGAGACTTACTATACAAGGTGCTCTTCCCCTAAAGTGTAAGATCTGTACTCTACTCCTGATTAAAAGTAACATTTGTCTCTTAGGACAACTGAAACCGACTCGTTTATTTCTGTGATTCCAAAAGGATGCAAAACACACATCTTGTCAACCTTTCCCTTCCTGCCCCCTTTACAGTGAGTTCTCGTTCTGGTCTCATTACCGAACCACCAGGCAGGAGACACACAGCTTGGAGGGGCCGATGCAGTCATCATGGCAGAACGCACCGCAGCCCTTGCACATGATCATGGCTTTCAACCGGCAGTAACATTTCGAAGGTGTGTCCTCTATGCTGTTTTCTTCAGGAAAAGCCTGAACAGGAATGGTCTGGCCATGGCTGCTGGGATTCATTGCTTGGCTAGCAGGGATGGTAGTGACAGTCACTGAAAAGGACATGACATCACCAACGTTGCTAGGTACCTGGCCACAGTCAGGCATCCCTGGGACAGCAGAGCTATGGTCCATGTCAGACGAGGTGGAAACATTGATCATGCCTCTGTAGCTTGGCCCGATCTGTGTGGGGCTTCCATACAGCTTTGGGGTTTGCAGTGGCGGAAGAACCAGAGGCTGATGGGTAGGACTGTCTGCAGATAGAGGAAGAGCAGAATTGAAAAGCTCGGGGCTGCTACGCATTGTCTTACCTCTCGCTGCATGAGCCATCTGCTTCTTTGCTGCCTGGATAAAATCTCTGGCTAGGGTCTTTTCATCAAATGCTTGGCCTCTACTGAATAGGTAATTCTCTTTGCTTAAAGAGGTTTGCTCATGCACTGGTGTGTCTAACTTCATATTCTTTTTAGCTAAACATTCATCGGTGGGTAGGGTTTCTCTACTGTGGTGTGCTGAGCTTATTTCACACTTGCCAGAACTTTGGGAAGCCTGAGGCTCCTCCTTTATCATGACAGATTCTTGCTCATCACCAGTGCTTTCTTCATCAGTATCTTCTTTGCCACTGCTACTATCTCCTGTGGTATTTTTACAGTCTCCATAACCCACTTTCAAGGCCTCCGTGGGGCTACTCAGACAAAATCGGTCTTCAGAGTTTACAGAATGGGTCCTCCTAAAGCTCTCTGAACCCCGGCCATAGGTGGAAATGTTAAGTAAGTAGTGACCTGCCATTGCAGGCTTGGATGTCCTTCTGCCAGCAAAACCTAGCATGAATCTCTGACTTGTAGAGATGTCTTCTAATTGGAAACCTGAGTGAGTTAAGATGAATTGGGAGGGCTGCACAAATGAGGGAACATTTTGCCTCCGAACCCTCTGGATGAGAGTTTGAAGGATCTGATCCTGGGTTGCTTCACTTAGTCCTTCCTGGTACTGGTGTGGGTCAATGCTAGGGTCCCTCAGATCCTTACCTGAAAACAGCTGAAGAGGTCTTGGAACCTGGGGAAGGTGCTTACTGTGCAAGGCTTTACCAAGCTGCTGTACAGCGGGATGGGGCTGCCTCTCATGAACTTCCTCTGTGATGCTGTTTCCTGTTATGTTGGTGCCCGAGAGCGCGCCTGTCCCCTTTCCCTCTTTTGGAGTCAGTGGAACAGTTTTCATTTCAACTTTGGTGAGAGGTTTAGGCAGAATTTGCTCCATGGGAACATCTTTGCCCTGGAGCAGTTGAGTCACCAAAGGATTATTAGCCGGGATACTAGAGGTTGGCCTTGACATGGGTCCATTGATATTTGAAGAAGCTCCTGGAGGAGTTTTAAGGCTAGAAGCTGCTGGCATAGTGCTTGAGGATGGAGCTGATCCAGCAGGGGCTGTAGTTACACTGACCGGGGGTATAGGAAGTTTTTCTAAAGTGGCTGTTGTTAATAAAGATGTTAAAGGGGAAGAAGTCATATCCACTGAAGCACTAGCACTTGTCTCTGCGGAGGCTGAAGGGTTTGGTGTATTCTTACCAGAACCTGCTTTGGGATCAATTGTGCCATCAGCTGCAAAATGAACGGGTGAGGCACCTGAGATTAGAGCAGCATCAGTTGGAGTAGAAGGTGCTTTCTCCTGCTTGCAATTACTGGGCCCTTGTGTGTGGCTAAGAGAGGCCACTGTGGCTGCTGCCCTGTTGGGATTCAGTTTTTCATTATTCAATTTCCCTAAAGTTGGGGGTGCATTAGTGTGGGCTGGTGATGGGATATTTGTGCATGTTCCAGCGATGGCAGATGTTGGAGGCACTGAGGGGGTTTGCTGTAGTTGTGCTCCAGCGACACCAGGAGACTGTGCCTGGCATGGGGTCTTGGTCTCAGGCTGGGGCTGAGTCTCTGGACCACAGGGTAAAAGCTCTCTCGTACCTCCCCTGCTTCCAGTTCCTGCCAGTTCCAGTGTGGAGCCCTTTCCAGTTTCACAGACTCTGTCTGAGTCTGGGCTCCCTCCTCTAGCAGTTTTTCTTTCACCACCGTCTCCTGGACCTTGTCCACCCCCGGGACCAGGTCCTGGAATGGTCCCTCCAACTGAGGCATGTGCAGCGGCGGCGGCTGCAGCAGCCGCTGCTGCCCTCTGTGCTTTGACCAGCTGGGCTTTTGCTTTGATGTCTGCAAGGGTTCTGGCTCCGGTTCTGTTAGGACTAGTGATGGAGATTGGAAAACGAGCCCTGGGAGAGACCTGCGATGCAGGAAATGGCATGGGGGAGATTCTGGAGACCGGGATCTGAAAGAAGCAGGGGAAACAGGAGTTAATGTTCATATATGACAGTAACAAAGCTTCATGAACACTTAAGTTTTTTGAGTAGGGGAATATTACGTGTGGTGCAGAAGTGGGAGGCCCATCTAGGGCTAACAGACCCAGCGGTGGAGACAGCAATGCAAGTCTGTTTCTTGAGTCTTTCCATCTCCTCCTGTCACACCACTCCACCCACCCCAAGCTCCCACACCTCTTTTCTCAACCTCTCCTAATGTCAGTACATCTCACAACTACTTGTTATTTCAGATAAAGATCTTTCCATGGTATCTGCAACTTAAAATGTGGATGAGAGAAGGGAGAAACAGGAAAAAAGTAGCATATCATTGCTGTCTTTTATTTTTAGCTTCACTACCAAGGTTCAGGGGGAAATTCTTGTTCTTTGCGGTGCTACCACATGTATATAAAGTCAAGAACTTAGAATAAACTATCTCAAAGAACAGAGGCTCACAGGTAACGCTGCTCACATGCGAGTGAGTATGCACGTAGGTTTTTGTTTACCACAGTCATTCTCTTCCCTTACTGCATTAATCTATATGCGAAGTGTTTGAAATGTACTGCTTAAACAGATACACTACTAGAATACACATACTAAAATACCTAAGGGGAAAATAACTTCTAAAAAGTTTCTTGTAGAAACAAGTTTGTGAGAGTCTCATGAAACAGCAGGTTTGAAACCTCACTTTCATATCAAAATGTATCTGAAAGGAATCTAATTCCTGTACAAAGTAATTGTGAATTACTGATGTTAACAAGAATGCATCAGGATCCTAGTACTTACAGTAGCCAGTAGTGTTTAAAGGAGCAAATAATTATTACAGATGTTCTAGGGTATTTAATTAAAAAAAAAATTAAGTTACTAAATACCTAAGAAAATGCACATCACCATTCTGGAACTCCTTAAGTTAAGAATAAATAGTCACTAAAGAGTTTTCATTATTTGTGACACCCATTTTTCAAAAGGTCATCAGTTTTGAAAGCTGAAAACTCTGTCATTCAGAGGTTAGATCTGTGGGATTTCCTAACGGTCATCATGGAAACCACATTCACACATCAATTGAATGTATTTTATATCCATTGCACACAGAATTTTAGAAGCTACACAGAATAAGAAAAAAAAGCAATTGCTGTCCTCTGATATCATCTAGAAGAAATTTTGGGGGTGGGGTTTGGTTCAGGAGGGTGGAGGGGTGAAAGATAAAACTAGAAAGTGAAACACAAGAAAGTAAAAGCACAGTTGTTTTGGGTAATTGTACACAGGAGACAAATACAGCAAGATGAGAGTAAATGAGCACTGATATACACAGTGTCTATTGCCATGACTGAATATCTTTAATAACATGTTGAAAATAGATAATTAATTTAAAGCTTTATAAAGGGATTATAATACTTAAATTAACCTAGTTGGGGACTAAGTCTCAGCATTATCCCCACTACAGCCCGAATTCGAGCCCCAGAGGGGGAGCTGACCCACATATGATGCAGCAAACCTCTCCTGTCTGACCCTACCTCCCCTCAGCAGTGTATTTCAGTAAATCTGCTCCCACTCTGTCTAGTGAATTCTCTCACCTCCCACACTTTGGCCTACACCCAGTTCTTGTATGTTCTTGTTTTGTGACATAAGAGAATCATTTTTCCGTAAATGCCTCAAGATACGGGTCAGCAAGTAAGGGGGTGGGCAGGTACTTTCCAAGTGCCTTATGTATTCAACACCAATAAGATATGTAGGAATACAGTTCCAAATGCCTGTGTCTTGGCAATTTTATTCAAGATCAAAGTTACACACATACCAAACATAAAACTGTTTCTGTATTAAGGGCCATAAATTACAAGTGAAATTTAATAGAGAAGACCAAAAACTTAGTGTTAAGACCAACTCTCTTTTTCAGTCCTTCCCACTTTCTTACCTTGAGAGGTGGTACCTTTCGCACCTGGACCCTGTCCCCTCTGTTGAGAAAGGGCTGCGGCGAGACTTGAAATGGCTGCTGGTGCTGGCGATTCTCAGTGACACGTGGCCTTTTCTCCCAGCTTGCAGGGGCCTCCTCTTGGGTGAGAGATTTCCTCTTGAGGCTTTCTGGGCTCTGATCAACCAGAATTGTTGGAGGCTCTTTCGTGGTCTCCTGCTGACTTGTTTCTAATGTGGGCTTGATTGGCTTTTCCACACCAGGACTCTTGGGTTTGCTCGGGGATGTAACTGAAGTTGCTTCTTGGTTTTCATTTTTATTAATATTAGCAGCTTTAGTGAGATGATTTTCTTTCTCAGACTCCTGTTCAGCAGAGACAACTGGCTTCTGCTCCAGAAGCTCCTCCCCCTTTGGGCATTTGATGGGAAGAACATTGCTAAGCTCATCCGTATTGCTAGCTGCAGAAAGCAGAGGCTCCGTGGGCTTGGAGAAGTTTGGCTGCCCCTTATCCTGACTTTCATCCTCTTCTTTGATTGGTGATGGCATCTGTACTGCTTCATCTTTAGACTCTAACTGTGGAATAACTGGGACAATACTAACAGGTGAGGCCTCTGGAAGAAGCATGGATTTTGGTAGCTCAGCTGGGCTTTTCTTTACTTTGGGATCACTGGGTGAAGCCGTCAACTTCTTTGAATCCTCAAGGCTCAAACCAGAACTATAAAGTGGAAGAGAGAAATAATCTAGTTGAAAAGTGGCACATGTTGTTGAAGGCATTAAAAGATAGTGTTACATGGCAATGCCATGAAGACCCCCTGAAACATATATTCATATATATCTTCCTATTATTGTTAGTGAAGGTTTTGGCATCAGAATGCATGGATTCCTGGCTCTTACAGAGTACTCATGTAAGATGCTATGTCTCTACCACACATTTTTCTTGGCTGAGCACTGAGGTTAAGTAATAGTGTTGCTGTGATGATTAACTAAAGTAATGCACATAAAGTTCTTAGCACAGCACACCTAGCACATCAAGAAAGCTCAAAAAAGTCAACTTTATTACTTGTTAAAGGGGCTATGCAGTCTAGAGGCACGCAATATAGCCCCCTCAAGAGAAGGGAAGGAAAGTATATGCATCCTGGGACTGTGGGTCTCAAGTGTGGCCAGCTCTGCTGTGCACTACTATAGTAAGCATGGCCCAATCAAAGGGTGCTGAGGAGGCAGGAGAAGGGACCGTCAATGTTCTCCATAGGCTGAGCATTGTAACTGAGTTTTTGGAAAGGATGTTAAAATTCCAAGATCAAATGCCTCTGGAGCTGGCCTGGGAATTTAAGCCAATGCACTTCCAGAATGTGGCCACACTAACAGCTAGGCTACTCTGTACACTCATGAGTCAGCCTTCTTTGCTGACTTTCATTAACACTGCATATTTGAGATATAAAAGCTTAGGGAAAAACTGGATAGTAATCAAAAATAGTTCTTCTAAAAAAGCTGACAAAAAGTACTAACTGAAAACAAACAAGAAACGCTGTAATAGGGCCTCCTTGATTGTGCAAGGGCTAAAGTCTCAGCACTATGAAGCCATCACGGCAGCCTGGAGGCTCCAAGGCGGCGCACACAGGGGAGACAGCAAGCCTGTCCCAGGGATACCGCGCCATTGCCATCTGTTTAAATGAACCATCAAGACTTCATTTGAACCTTTAGTTAGAGAAAAAGAACTATTTAGATTACAATCCCTTGAGAACAGGGTTTGTATCTTGATTAGTTCCCATTCGGCCTTCTAAGAAGAGGTAAAATCACTGGGTATATTATTACATATTATAGGATTCTTAGAATTCCTTAGTGATTCTGGGGAGTTATTCTATTGTAGGATAATTGACCACTATAAAAAATGTAAAAAATATTCTTAAATATTCTTATTATCTTACAATGTTACTAGAAGAAAAGCCAATCTATTAAAAAAAGGGAATCTAATTCAAGAAAATAAAACTTTTGTTTTTAATTGAACACAAAGTTATGATTTGCTTTTTATTAAAGATTTAAAAACTCTAACAATGATTTACAACATTATAGATGATTCAGGCCACTGTGTTCTCTCCCTTCCATTTTGCTCTTCCCCATAAAGAAACCATCCTGCCCACAATGGCAGTGAGTAAACTGGGTTATGAATAACCCAATTCTGTGAACCTGAGACACATAAACAGAAAAAAACTCCTTGAGGAAAAAAAAAATTGGTCACCCTTCTCCTCCCCCAATAAAATAAAATAAAAACGAGACTTTCTGGAAAGATGTTAAGACAAGTACCACATGACGTAGACATAAGAATTAACATCTCGTTGAGTAAACTGTATTAATATTACCTCTGACCATAGTAGCTTTCAAAAAATTGTTCTTTCCATGGCTCCACTTTCTTTTCCTTTTCGATTTCTTGTCGAATTCTCACCTGCATCTCAGGTGTAAATTCACCTATAAAGCACAAACCCCCCCCACCAGATATTCAACAGAAAAATACTGATTGTAAGTTTTACCTACTTTTAAATCACAAAAGACTCAAACGGAAGAAAGAACATTATCATATGAAAGTAACAGAAATTCCCGAAATTCCTCACTATAGGTGAGTACCTAAGCATCAAGAGGTGAAATAAGAGTATCTGCACACTATTTCATTTTCAGTCTTCAGATGAGGTCAACCTTTTCTTTGTTGTGCCTTCCTCCTGCTCACAAACAGCACTTTGCCCACAGATTTCTCTCATCATTATCCTTTAATTTGTGAACTTTTTTCCACTGAAAAAACAGGCACATGCTTTCAGTGAGTAATGTCATTGGCCATTTTGTTATTTTAACTCGCCTGTCTTTGGCAATTTGTAGTTTAGGTTTTTTATCTCTATATGCATAATAAACATCTGTGGCCCTGCTTAAAGGGATATGAAATTCCAGGGAAAAAGTTATTCTGGAGTTGTCAGTTTTCTCATTTTTCAGAAGTTCTAATTGTTTAGTCTCAAGCACCAGAAATAAGACATCTGACATACCAAAGACACAACTACTATGAATATGTCATTTATTTGCAAATACAGTCTTCCCCTGCTATTCCAAAGTAGTGTTTCTATTTGGTAAGAATGGTTAGGTTACTTTTTGGGTCTGAGAACACTATTACAACTAATTTAATATAGAAAAAAATTAAGCTTCCCAGAACCTCTGCCAAAAAACCTACCAAATCACACCAAATAGGAACGTTCTGCATTCAGATAGCCTGTACTACCAACACCTCACTCCTTCCCCTCGGTGAGCAAAGAACTTGAATGTGCTGGATAGGCCATCTTCAAGCTTGTGGCTCAGAAAAGCAGCTCCCTTTTATATTCTAATACCCATGACATCAGGGACTAAGAGGTAGAAAAGGCAGAGAAGTTGAAGTTTAAGTCTTCCTGGAGGTAAGAAGAGACAAAGGAAAAGTGTTAGGGGGCAGTGAACATCACAGTCCTGGGCACAAGGGATCTAGTTGTCAGAATCTAACCCAGAACTTCTGTTCTTTTGTTGACTCTACTGTGTAACCACACAAAGGAAAAAAGTATTGGTATGTTCACCTGAGCACAGTGTTCAAATTTTTTGTTGCTCATAAAAGGTGACCAAAAGTGTGTAGGTTAGGGCCATAAATCCCTTTCCAAATTGCTTTTAATTTTAAATTACTTTTGAAGAACTCAACAATTTCAATGAACAATGCACGCATGAAATAGCTAGTCAACTAACTCTAATTGTCAGAGATCTAACAAAAAGAAGCAATGAAAAGCATTCTTAATGCCATTCTTATACATTATTTTAAAGCTTATACTTCTTTAGCTATTTCTTGGCATAAGTTCAAATAACTTCTCAAGGATTTTTTATATTTACATACTAAAAGATAAATGCAACAATTGAAATAAAAATAACAGCCAGTGGTTTTAATTATGGCTCCATATTAGAATAATTTGGGAGAACTTAATTATCATAAGCAATCAGGGTTAAGAACTGCTAACAATGTTTGATACAATATACTATGCCAGAGGAATCAACCAACCAACCAACCAACCAATCACTTTTTTATACTTTATCACGTACACCAGGTTAAATATCTTAGATCAGATTACATGAGGCATACATGGTAAGCCAGAAGCCACAATCAGGAATGCCTGGTCATAATCTATATTTATTGAAATGCTCTACCTGTCATTGGACTATACACCTCAAGTGAACCCTTTCTCAATATAGCAGTTCCTAAAAATGTTCTTAGTGATTTCTTCTACTTTATGAATGAGGTAGGGCAGTAATAAAGAGATTATTTCAATTCTGCTATGAAAAAGCATTAACCTGGAAGTACTCCGGTGACTTTAAGCCCTTTACAAGAGATACTGCTGGGTTTCATCTGGAGCCAAACTTTGTTACAGAGGACCAAATAAAAGCCTAAGTATATGCAGTATGCCCTCGCTGTGGCTCCTAGTCCACACTGGCTCTGAATGCTGGGAGACACATTAGGTGGAGACTTACCTTCTGACAGTCTTTCTTTCCAGCCTTGGGCTGCTGAAGTGAAGAACTCATTATTAAGGGCTGAGCCGTTTAACTTCATCAGACCATCTGGACCAACCTGAGTCAAAGAAAAATCAAAGCTTATAAAGAAAGCTAAATGTATCACTTGGAACTTGAGTTGACCTTCATTATAGAAAAGAATTTGTGTATATTTAATTTTATAGAAACTATAGGTCTTATTGCTTATTATGAAACTGCTATCTGACATTGCAATATCATAATTTTATATAATAACCCTTTCCAATTTACTTCTTCTTTTCCTTGAAACTGCCTTCCTGACTAATTACACTCAAAGAATCATCTACAAGCCAATAGTGCCAAGAATACATTTTTTCCAGTTATTTCTTTTATAACTACGTGATCAAGTTATATGTACTCCTCAGAATCTTACCTTACTTCGCATAATTTACTGTCGAAGTCTCTCCAAGTCAACTGAAAGAGTTTAATTCCTGTACAGTAGTTACTTATTATTTCACTGTACATCAAATTACCATCTCCTAATCATACACATGCACCTGATTCCAATGTTTCCCACGGTCAACAAAGCTGCAATACTGCTAATACTGTTACTTCTATGGGAAAGGTTATGAAGCAAATAAATATTTGTTCTGCAGCATCATAAAGCTATCACCAGACACTGCAGCACAAGTTTGATCCCTGGCTAGGGGGCTGACCCACATGGCCCAGAACTCTCCTGTCTCCCCTGTTGTTCCCCTCAGCAGTGTTTTTCAGTCGATCTGCCTGTTCTGCTCCCCACTGCCTCTGGTGAATCCTCTAACCAACAATCCTCCCCCATACCCAGCTCTTGTATGCATAAACAAATAAAGCAAATCTTTAAAATTTTTTTAAAAGGTTGTATTCTTCCTAAACTTGCTGTCTACATTTGGATTAGAATCTTTATGTAGAGTTTTCATTAATAAATGACCACAAGGTTCATATGGAAAAACTGAAGGAAAAATGAAGGGGGGGACAAAACTATTATTACTAGCATTACAATGAGCAAAGAATGGAAGAGGAAAGAGCACCTATAGATATACAACGCATACTTATGAATAGACTATATAACAAAAGAGCACTTCAAACTATGAGAAAAAGAGACTTTATACACATATACATATATGCATATTACTGTAGTGATGGAACAACTAGTAGAAAATCAAGCTGAACCCCATTTTCAGAGTAATATATATAATTTCTAGATGGATTAAAGTTTAAGTTTTCAGTCAAAAAATTTTTTTTGAAGAAAAACTGGGTAACCTATCTGGATCAAAATTATTTGCCCCTGGCCTTAGGTATACTTTTTCTGTTAAAGGACAGAACGGGAACGTATTAGGCGTTGTAGCCTCATCAACTCTGCTATTGTAGCACAGTATTTCTAGACAATATGTAAAGGACCAAGAGTGGCTGCATGCCAATGAACTTTATAAAAACATGCAGGGGCTGAAATTAGCCCAGGCTACTAAATCATATTCTAGAGTTCGTAGAGGGGTAATAGCTTCCCTCTGATAAAGTCACCCAACCTTTGCTTGAGAAATCCAGTAATGAACAAATTACTCCATTGCAAGTCAATCCTTTCCACAGTTTAACAGCACCAACTGTTTAAAAAAAAAAAAAGTTCTGGAGAAAGATGTTTACCTCTCATGACAGACCTTCAAATACATCTGAAGAGTGGTGTTTTCATCCACTTGCTTCCCTTAATTCTTTTCTTTGATCTAAATAATATTTTTCTACCATTCACTCATGGGTATTACACGTTAAACCATGGTTTCTAATGTGAAAACCAGGATTCTTTATAAATACTTTAAATGTCACCTGATCTAGACGTCTATACATAAGGACTGTATTTGTCAGAATATGTCCGCTCCCACCAAAATAACTGGAAAAGTCAGGTCAATTCCTATGAAGAATGTCCCCAGACAAGACTCTGTGGGAGGCTGACCAGATAACCCTACGTCCTTTGAATTCTCAACTTCTATACAGCCATCTTCCTCATGAGAGAGGGTAAGAGCTATTAGTCAAAAGACAGCTCTGAGGAACTTGAAATAGAGTTCTAAGCCCAGTCATAGGTTAGGTGCTGTATTGTTGTTCCCAATCTGAGAAGTCCCTTTAAAAAAGATGAGTAGAATCTCTAATTTAAAAGTTCTTTTAAAACTGCTTAAAATTTAGACTCCTAAAAGAACTGGGCACAAAAGCTATAAGCTCTCCAAGAAGCATTACGGAGGGGAAAGGAGGATCTGGGAAAGATCAGCTCCACTTTTCTGCCCTAGCTGCTTGTAGGATAGTTGATTTATTTGGACTCTTCTGGAGATGAAATCTGACCTATTTTCATATATGTTGATTCACAGCACTATGAAGCTGATATCTATATCATCAACTAAAAATAATACTCGAAGAATTAAAATTATTTACTTTTGACTTTATAATCACTTAGCTAGTTATTTGTATAGCTTCCTTATTCCCTATTAATCTCTTACAATAAACTGGAGGCAATATCTCGTTCTCATATTACAAACAGGAGAAAACTACCTCTTTATCATCTTGTTTTTAATAATGACGAGGTGTGTGTGTAGGAGAAGCTATCAGATTACTATAGGTATTTGAAAACAATAATAAAAACATCTCAAAGCTGAATAAACCTTAGAAAACTATAACGGTATTAGATTCCTCTTGCAGAGGTGAACCCAAATGTCAGAAGGGGAATGATTTGACTTACTAGCTACTCCTTTCTTGATGAAAGGCTATGCCTGAGATGTTTTACCTTGTTTCTGGATTAAACTCTCTCTGCTCCCCAGAGAGCCTCTTCTTTGGTATTTCTTTTAGCTATCTTTTTTATTCCTTAAAGAATAAAACTTAGGTTTTTTAGTTCTCTGCTATGTAAATGGTAAATGTTTTACAAAAAATTTCATAATAGAATGAATGTAATATTCTTACTCCCTTAAAAAAAAAAAGCCAACACAACCTTGATATCCTATGATGGTGAGATAAAATTTATTCTATAATTTTGATATTCTGATAAAAGGTTTTTTCCCTTTGACATCTTACAAGGCAACCAATTAAGAACACTTACATTAAAATATTCTTAATTTTTCATACCACTTCTCTGGAGAAACTTAGTAAATTGGAAAGTGAGTGAAGGAAGCACCAGAGTTACCAGAACTGCTGAGCTTGAATAACTCACCTGCCGATCCACCTCTGGAAGCAGCAGAAGCAGTCGCTGTTGGCAGTCTCCAGGAAGGACTGAAAATGTGTGTTTGTTGATCAGGGCTCGTAGATTTGTATTAACCAGAATGGAGTCTGGTGTCTCCACATCAATTTCAGCACACTTAGTCCTTTTCATCTGCCCTACAAAAGCATGGAAATGAATCACATGGGCCCCCTTCACATGCCTGTTTTTATATAAACTATAGTTTGCTCTGCGATGCAAAAACCACTTGACATACTTCAAGTATTACACTGAAGAAGGTGACAAGGTTCTTAGAAATTTCTTCTAAGGCTTGCAAAGCCAAGTTTTACTCATTCATAAAGTAGAATAATATAATTTATCTTCCCTACAAAATAGATGGTTGTGAAAGTATACCTTTTGCCATAGGAAAAGTACATCTTATACTTGAGATTTATTTCCAAAATGCAATTGAGGATATTTACAATAAATACACATATAAATCATCCCTACGCCCATTTTTTCTTTCTCATATAGTTTTGTCAGTCTGCCTGTTTTGCTCCTCACTCTGTCTCTGGTGAATCTTCTCACCCCCAACACCTCTGGTCTGTACTCCAGTTCTGTGTGCATAAATCTATTTTTTTAAAGTGAATTAATATATATAAATCAGTAAGAAAAAGACAAATAGCACCAAGAGAAAAACAAGCAAAGGGAATTAACAACAGTTACACTACCCATAATAAACACATGCCATAGTATTAATAGTGAAAGAAATACCAACTAAGCCAATAAACCTTTAGTAATCAAAATGGCAAGTAATGTAGTATGGGGCTACATAGCAAAAAAGCAAAAAGTATTTTCAAATCCTGCTCATGGGGCAGAATTCCATATAAATCTTGCTAGAAGAAAACATACCAAAAAAAACTTTTTTTTTATTGTTATTATGGCACATGGATGATTTGGTGATGGGAAGCCCACGGGGATTACAACTGAGATGAAAGAATGCACAAAGTGATGTAAAATCAGCTATTATATTATTTCAAAAAAATTTTATTGTTATTTATGCATACAAGAATTAGGATGTAGGCCAGAGATGTTGGGGGCAGTGAGAGGATTCACCAGAGACAGAGTGGGGAGCAGAACAGGTAGACTGACAAGTACACTGCTGAAGTAGCAGGCCAGACAAGAAGTCTGCTGTGTCATGTGGACCAGCTCCTTGGCTGGGAATCGAACTCATGCCACAGTAGCTGGCAACAGCTTGACAGCGCTGAGACTTATAACCCCTGTGCCACAGGGAGGCCCCCATACAACAAAACTTTAATGTACATAGAAATCTAGAAACCTAGAAAAATTACATTTAGAAATGCCTACACGAAGCAAGATGGGAGGACTCTGGCTCCTGGTGAAAGTACAAGCAAGAGTAATTTTTTTTTTATGAGTAGACTTCCCAAAATTAGGGTTATAAGATTCCTGCAAATTAAAATCTAGCACTATCTTATGATTATCCTAACAAATCAGAAGGTGTGCCACTATAATAGAGCCAGTAGAAACCACAAATAAAAAGATTTAGGCCTGAGAATTTCATGGGGAAATATACATTGTACAAAAATGAAGGATGATATTATTTGTATATATATATGTAAGTATACATATAAAGATTTAGACCTATAAGTACTGCTATCACCGAAAACGGCACATATATATATATATATATATACACAAACTAGATATCCAATCATTACAGGGAAAAAAGTTAAAAAGATTAGGATAAAATAATCAGGATTTAATATAAAGATATGAAAAATATAAATGGGACTGCCGTAAATCTATAATAAAATGTGCATAAATCAGATACTATAGATGAATACCTAGAATACAGACTTTCAATTCCATGGAATTTTCTTAAATCATTTCTATCATTTACCTCCCTTTATACCTTTTTTCTGATAGTCCAGTTATGTAAGACACTGGACAGCCTAGACTGCCATTCTAATTTGCTTACCTTTTCTTTCCTTTTGAATTTCTCCTCTGATTTCTGGGAAATATCTTCTTATTTCTACCATTATATTTTATTTCTGCTATCATTTAATTTAATATTCGGAAACTCTGTTTTCTGGTTTTGAAAGCAGTATTCTGTTTTTGTTTTTGTTTTTTTCATGGGTAGAATACCGGCTTTGTATTTCTTTCTTTGGGTACTTTACTTCTAAAAGTTGTGTTAAAGTTTCTCCTTCCTGAATTGTCTGTTTCTTCCGAGTCTTTATTTCAGATTCTCTCTCATGATAGAGGTTTCTTCAAAGGTAGTCCCTAGTAATAAGTAAAAGAGAGGCACTAAAAAATTCTGGGTTGCGTGGGTAGGTCTGGGAAATTGGTGAGCTCTACAGAAGTATGATCAAGATGATCTGTTTAGTTGAATATCTAAATTTTCAGTTTTTTTTTGTTTTTTTGTTTTTTTTTTTTTGCGGCTACTCAATTTCTGTAGGTGCTAGTTCACCAATATCTTGCTGGGAATGGCAGGGAAGAGGAAGGAAGTAGTGGTAGTAGAAATACACTCACTAACAGTATTCTGGAAGCCAAGAAGGAAGATCCCTAATTCATTATTTGTACTTCACTTCCCTAACTTCAGAACACTATGCCTCATTTTCTGCTTTCAGTTATCTGTGATATCGATGAATTTGGACTCTGTGCTATATCTATGAAGTTCCTGCCCTCCTGTTAAGGTGAGCCATCAAACTGCTTATTAGTTTTCAAAGGTTCTTTCAACCTGATACTTCACCCTTCTCTGCTCTGCTGCAAGCTGTCTCCAATTTGTGAGGCTTTCTGTGTCTGTAATTAGCAATTCTTCCTTGGTTCTATGAAAAGCTATCAAAATATGTCGACACTGTTTGCCCATCTGAGCTTGTTTTTTTCATCCTTTGGATTTAATCGTTTATATTTTCATATTCTTATTTTAGTGGAATTTCAGAGGGAGCACGAAAAACATTTTTAGTTTGTCATGTTTAACGACAAGCCCTTTTAATTTTCTGTACGCAGTTTGAAACAAAAGGAAATGCTGGACAAAGCAAAATATTGTTAGAAAGAGTAATCACAAAATGCCTAGTAAAAGAACTTATTCTGGTACGAAGTTTGATAAGGGCAGGGCAGGAAGAAGAATGTCAAGAACTCATAGGTGAACAGAAGGTAATAAATGAGGGGGAAAAGACATGATGTCACTTCTGCCTCTTATTTCTTATAAATCTCTCTTAGACAGACACAGTTTATATATAATCTTTACTATGTTAAGTAAAGCAATGCTCTAAACCTTGGCCAAGTAGCTGATAAATTTCAAACATAAAGTTGACAAATTAATGTTAAAAACTAAAATCTCTGTAAATTAACTCACTTGTATGGAGTCTGTCAGACCTTTGAAACGACTTCTTTCCCAAGCCTAGCAAAGGACTTTCCACTTTAACTGAAGAAGAAAAGCTAGAGTTTGAGTTATGAGGGCTGCTGGACTGTCCATCGGCTTGCTTTCCTTCCCATATCACTGGGGGAAGAACACATACAGGGTGACACTGAGGTTATGGACACAAAGCATCAATCAAATCACCCGATGCCAATTAAAAGGAATTATATATGAGGCAATTTGACCCTTCACATGTTGTTTTGAATCTGAAAGTTAAGAGTCAATAGTAAAGAGAAATCCCTTCCATTTTCCCAGCACATTATTTGCTACTGGTGGTAAATTTTCTCCCTCCCTAACAAAAGTACAAAGTTGGAAAAAGTGCAAATTGCAGTTGAAATCTGACAGGTCGATCTAATTAGCACCAAACTGAATTCTGAAGTAAAATGTAAAACCTATTATGTAAACCAGTTTAGATTTAAAACAAAACAAGTAACAACAAATAAATCCAATGACCTGTGGATATGGCCAATGTAAACTTAGGTAGCTTGCATTCTCAGAGAAAGCCTATTTTTGTAAAGGAGAGAAATGGTGAAGAGTTCTGTTAAAGTGCCTTGGAAACATCAGCAAGTTACCCATCGGCAGCTTCCAAATATTATTGGCTAAGCGTTGATATCATCTAACATACAAATTTGGCTGATATATTTTAACAATGGCATGATTACGTAGTGTAAGATATCCTACTTCTCCTGGGAATGATTATATCGATGGTTTGGTGAGAGAGGAATTATATAGTATATAAGATTTAGTATATAAAAATTATTATTATAGTATACAAATTTGGAAAAGTAACACAAAAACACCAGGAAAAAAAAAAACTCCACTGATAAGCCACCCAATCTAGCTACCAGGTTTGGCAGACACAGAGTCACTGGCTGCTTTGACAGTCTTGAGTGAGAGATGCTGGCTGGAGGAGACGGACATGCTTGGCCTACACTGCTGCTGCTGCTTCTTCTGCTGTTGCTGCTTCAGAGCCTGTAAAAAGAAAACCGACTATAAGAAACAATCAGTTTTTAGTAATGCAAAAAATAACTTCTTTTTAAATGGTTATAATAAAATTACCACCAAATTTCTTGAAATCTATCAAAAGTTAACAAAAATTAGATGGAAAATGCACAAAATGATGTAAAAATAAACTATATTAAAAAAGTTAACAAAAATTGAAATTTATTTATTTATTTATTTTTTTTAAAGATTTATTTATTTGTGCGTACAGAACTGGGGTACAGGCCAGAGGCTCAGGGGCGGTGAGAGGCTTCAC